GAGACACTCTTTGGCCACTTCTGACACTTTATCGGCTCGTCTACCGGTGACCACAACATTAGCACCGGCTCTGGAGAACTGTACGGCAGTGGCGGCACCGATACCCGCACTCGAGCCTGTGATTAGCACTACTTTACCGCTGAAGTTGAATGTGAGAGACATTTTAGAAAAATATTATCTTACAAGAGGTTAAAAAGTATATTATTTGTTACTGATCTTACAGTGTAAATAAACTTTTATAATTCTTAAATTCTGTTCACAACCAGTATTTATATACAATTGAATTTATACTATTTTGAGACAACCAAGGACACAATCATTTTACGTTATACTAAAGTTATTAGGTTTGATAGCAAGTGTTAGTGCAATGTACTAAGTTTGCACTAACCCTAGTGTATTGACGAGTACGCGTACACTACAATTTGTAAATAATACGGACAGCCTAACTGTGATCAGCCCTACTTTACAACTGAAATTGAATTCTATAGACATTTCAGACAAGTAGTAATATAACTAAGTTACATAATATTTATTTACTATTTTAGTATTTACTATTAAAGTTTTGATAATTACTCAATAGTGCATACGGAGTTGTCAAGGTCATATTTGCTATCACAATATCACAATATTATTTTATTTATATTTACTAGTTCTCAATTCTACAATAAATATTTTATAAACTGATTAACATTTTATATACAATATACCTGAATTCTTATAATATTTCATAAAATAAGTTTATCATTTAATTATTTTAAAATCAATTACTATGAAATTATAAAATATTTTGTTTATAAAATATAAAAGTTTATTTTGTTAATTAAAACATGATTTATTAAAATATAAATACAGTATTGTAATATTATCCATTATGATACAATACAGTAGTATCGCTTAACATAAAAATATTTTAATTTAATACAATATGGTCTACTTATACTATAATATAACAGGGTAGTATCGATATATAGTAACTAATAGGTTAAGGATAGGGACACATATGGTTTTTTACTTTATTAAAAGAATGATGACTTCATTATATATCAATATATTTTAAAATTATAATTGATTTATTAGCATACAATTAAATAGAAATATTTAAACAACACAATAAAAACATTGTTACTTTATGATATTAAATTATTAGTAAGCATTACAAATAGTTTACAAAATAATATTAATTAATAATAAATACAAATACAAATAATAAATAAAATAGCTTATTTTATTTCAAATCCGTAACTCACAATATTGTAAATAATTAAATCACACATTATATTAAAATTGTTTTTTGGTAACCTCTACATTTTAGTATTACCTGCTATAACACCTCCATCCACAATGAGGTTAGTGCCGGTGACAAAAGCAGCATGGTCACTGGCCAGGTATAGTATGGCGTCACCGACTTCCTCGGACTCGCCGACCCGGCTTATTGGCATTTTCGCTACGAAATCCTGTCTATGTTTATCCATTATATCCTGTGGTATACCCATTGCTGCCGCAAATTCAGTGCGAATTGGACCAGGGCTATTCATTCAAATAGGAAGATTGACATTTTATTTTAGACATTGATTTTGTTGTTGTTTTTATAGATATTAATTATGAATTACTTGATGACATTAACGCGGATACGTTTGGGTCCCAACTCCGCGGCCATACATTTGGTGAACATATCCAGAGCACACTTTGCCACACAATAAGGACTGAAACCCGACACCTGTTAATGAATACATTGTTTTAGAAATTGTTTTGAATTTTGAACTTTTTTGCACTAGACTTACAGCTCTCTTCCCGGCGACACTTGAAATGTTGATAACATTTCCTTTAGTTTTCTCCAAATGCTCGACACATATATGCGTTAAATAGACCACAGAATTGAGATTTATTTGCATAGCTTTTTGAAACTTCTCGTAAAAATCTTTGTCTTCAATTTTACCGCCAACACCAGCGCCGGCGTTGTTTACCAAAACATCGAGTTTCCCGAAGTGTTTGACAGTTGTGTCCACAAG